CAGAATGTTTATTGAAGTATTTTTTCCCTTCTGATTATCAATGATATATTTCACTTTTAAAGGAAGTTGGAGGGGAGAATTAAGAGCTGCTTTTTGCCTGCAAACCCGTTTAGGTGACAGCATTCCTCTGACGATGGTTTTTATGGGTATTTTACCTAGTGATGTGTTCATTTCGTGATTGCTCATATTCTTGAATGTCTATGTTCCAACAGTGTCAGTTCAATATTAGGAAAATTACTCTGCATTTATATCTCTAAATTCAACTCAGATTGCATGTCCTGAGTATATTTTAAGGTCATTAAAAACTACCACTGCATTCTGACTTACATCACTCCATGCAACCTGGCGATTGTGATGCTGCATATTTGTGGAAATCAAGAAGGCAGTAGTAGAAGCAGTGTTAAAGTTTTTGAAGGCAAAATTTGAAAAATAGTGTTAGTACTTCTGATTTCTTTCTTTTAATGCCAGAACTAAGGATATTGTGAAGCACTTGTTAGTAAGTTAACTTTGAAACATCAGGCTGGAAGGGGTTGTTGTACATAGTTCTAGGTATAGTAGAAACAATCTGTAAATGACATTTTGTTTTCACGACTGATGTAGACTTCAAAATATTCTTTTACTTTACCTCTTCTGGCTAAAACGATACCTTTCATTTGTCACAGAATCGAAAATAGTACCGTTTTGTAAACAGCACTATCTGATTCTTCACAGCCTTCATAAATTTGCTCTTAGTTGTCATTTACAGACTGGACTAACTGCTGAAAACCCATACAAAGGCTCTAAAGAGCTCTGCCTTATAGCAGTACCTAACTAGCACTACATATGCAAACAGTCCTAGCACGGCTTTCTTACAGTAGCCTTTATCCCGGAACGCTGAACGGGAACATTCTAACGATCACTCTCGTACCAACAGCCACTCCAACACAGAACTGCTTTGCTAGCATTTTTCCTTGTAGTGTTAGCATTTTGAAATTCATATTTCAGAGACATGATCATCACAGAATTTACTCTTATTCCATGAAAAAAAATTAATACCTTCAGAAGAATGTTTCAGTTGTAGACTATGAGACTTGGAAATCCTCTTGAGATAAAAGGTTGCGAAATACCCAGTATTATAAAATCCATGGTCACGTGTGCCTGAACTTAAAGAAATGTTAGACCTATGCAGTATACGAGCATGAACCTTCTTTTCTTTCGTACTGATTTAATTTGCTGAAAATCACTCAGTAAATCGGTTCATACAAGTTACCATATTATTGGAAATTTGGTTTATTTTCCTCAAAATCGTCAACTTTAAGTAGCTCATTTCTGTAGAAAAATGTTTTCTCTGTGGAAAAATCAGTCACTGCCAGGATTCTTTCATTTCTGTACTATTTTATATAATTGAATATAACTTCTCTCACACCAGCAAGTATTTTACAGGTGCCTTGGATTAAAACAAAATTGATTTTACAATTTTAGTGTAAGTCTTTGTGTTTATGCCACTTTAAAAAAGAAATGCAATTATATTCAATATAATGGATAATACTCTTATTTAATGTAACTCTTCGTGTTGTAATTGTTTGAATGTTTTATTCAGCTTGAAACTCTATGAGGCCACAATATTTTGTTATGTATTAAAGGGATAATAGTGTTTCTCAGAGTGTGGTCTGTGGTCCATCTGGATCCTGGAGTGCTTGTTAAGAATACCGATTCCAGGCTCAGCTCCAAACCACCTGAAGCAGAACTCAGGGGTGGGGGCTTCAGAATATCAGTATTCAGCAGGCACCTCAGGTGATTCTGAGCACACTGCTGTTGAGAAGCGCTAAGATGGGGGGTGAACAGAAGTCTCTTGTTAACTTCAAAGCTGAGCTGAGAGCCGATGTAAAGTTTTCATTGTCAATGACATTAGCAAATGTGCACTGATTCTCTTATACTTACAATTTTTTACTTAATGTTCTTTTTACTAAAACTCCTGGTTTATTACAATTACAAACTAAACCCAGATTGCTGCTTGTAGCTCTTGGTACTTTGCTTGACAGCTCTTAAACGTACAAAAGCATCTTCAGATCATGGTCAAGCCATGAAAACCCCCATCTTCAAGATGGCCTGCTAAAGCTTTTTGCTTTGCTGATTGTGATTTTTGTGACATATTATCTCAGACAGTTGTACTTTTTGATAACTTGGGGAAAACAAAGATTACTTGAATAAGAGATTGCCTGACCCGCTGCGTTGCAGACATACAATCCTTGTAAAGAACATAAGTGACAGTTGTGAATATTAAGATGTGATTATCTTTTCCTGTCCATGTGCTTACCGCAGGGAGATAGTGAACAAATGGTTATATTGGGGATTTTTTAATTTATAAGATCTAATGTAAAATCACCACTTGCAACTTTTTAGATCTGTATGTTGCCTGTTTAATATATTTCTTTTAAAGTTTAAAAGGGTTTTCTATCCACTGTTGATTTCAATTGGATAACATTTTGTCAAGTGTTTTTTTCTGATTGTTAATTTGATGCTAGCTGGAATTCAAGAAATGACATTGACCTTATTCAAATAAAGAAATATTTTAGTAAACTTACTTTTTTCCTTCATTGGTCTCGGGTAATAAGTAGTTATTTATTTATTTCCCAAGTAGGCCCCGATTTGTGATAGTATTTCATGTGTCACGTGCTTTGCGTTCTGCCCTAGGTAGCCTACCACCTGCAGAGTCAATACATGGAAGCATAAGAAGAGAATAAGAAATGAGAATGGATCAATGCTTACCCTTGCTGGTAATGAAAAACACAAAATAATTAAAACAACGTATTTGATGTTTTCATCTTTAATAACCAAATACCGGTAATAGTGTGGCTAAGCTGGAACTTTTAGTCATTACTAATGGCAGTTTTATAAAAATCTTTTCCTCTCTTTGGCAAGCACCATTCAACCAAGTAATTCCAATTCTGAGAGTCCATGTGGTATAAAAAGGAAAGAGTAGAGCTTTAGCGTCAAACAAATCCGAGTTTAAATCTTGACTTTGCCACTTACTAAAGATGACCTTCAGTTTCCTCATAATACTTCTGTCTCAGGGTTGGTAGCTTTGTAAAGATGGTCTTTATAAAGTGGTTTCAGAATATGGAAACTAACGTAATGGACCCTTGTGCTATAAGCCCACAGAAAATACTGAGTAATGTAAAATTAAAGAATTAAATTAGATAGGTTTGAAAGAAATCAGAGGAGACTTAAAGCCTGATCAGTGAGCCTTCTGTTGGGGGTTGGGGGGCAGTGCTGGAAACTAGACACTGGTTGGGGCACTGGGGACATGGCCATAGTAAAGATTTGGGATTTTGTTCAAGTATGATGAGAAGCCTTTGGAGGAGGGGTAACACCTAGTCCTGTTTCACCTGGAGTATTTATTTTCCCTTTCTGGAGGATTCCACACACAGCAAATAGTTGCTGAATGTCCAAGTGGAAAGGCCATTATAATAAACTGAGGAATAAAAAGTTTTTAAAGACGTGATCCCACTTCCAATGGAATCATCTTTTGGGAAGACAATGGAAGATTTGATTTCATAAAGCACCACCAGGGAGTATTCATTTGTCACACTGATGTAGTTACCACGTAAGAGTTTCTGTGATGCTTGACACCCACCCCTCCCCAGCCTACCCCCATCCCACACACACAGACAGACAGAAGAGGACTGGACAGGGAGAGGCTGCTTCACCAACTGGCTTTGGAGTTTAGAATTGAGACCCTCACCATTCATAATATTTCCTAATTCCTAATAAAATGGAATTTTAATAATTTTATAATCTAATAATTTAATAACTTAGAATAACTTACAAAATGGATTTTTATTTTAAATAATAATTTAGAGATCATGGTTTGAATGTATTAAGTCCCAGGCAACACATCTTAAAGTGGAAGTGGAGCTAAGTATGAATGTACATTCTCAATCAGAGAACACCGAGAAAAGTTTCTATTTCACCCTAAATCTTCGTTAATCTTTCAAATTGAGACCATTTTAGCAACAATTTTAAATTGGTTAGTAAGATGAAAAGCAGATCTTAAAATACATTTAAAAAAGCATTTTAGGCAAAAATCCAGTTTGTATAGTTCTGTACAATCTGAGGGATAGTCATCTATTTCCTGAAAGGGCTCATGCCTACAGATAAAATAATAAGCATAGGTTACTAATAGGCTGTATCTTTCCCCTCTGCCCCACCTGCTCTTGGAGTGCTTTAATTAGAAAGATACTAACATAGATTAAAGTCTTAGCCATGCTCAAATTCCTCCCTTGACCTGGAGAAAACCACAGCCACTGAGAATCTGTGTTACAAAACATTGTCAAAAGTTTTCTCCAAGTAACACCAGTGAGCTTAAATAGAGCACCCAGGAAGTGACTGCGTGTAAGAGGAAAAGGTGACCTCGATACACACTGATGATTTGACTCGTGTTCTTACCTTCTGGATCAGAGCAGTTAAAGTATCCAGCGTGTCATTTCCATGCAGAAGTGTAACGATGCAGGAGCAGGCTAGGGTAATCCAGATGTAAGCGGAGGACCCTCTTGCCTCTTGCCTCAGTTGGGTATTTATGTACAGGACACAGTAACCGCTGAAACAGTATAGAATTCAAGCAAATCCTTGCATAGTCCTTAGAGTCCAATGAGATAAAATGATGGATCAAAGGATTATTTTTGCTTAACGAAGCATTTCGGGTTTTGAGTCTCATTGGACTCAGTTTTCAACAGGATGTTGTCCTCAAGGGCTGGAATTTGGAAATTCCACTACAGCCATATAATCGGTCTGCTCTGATTAATTTAATTGAACCAACTCTTGATGAAGCCCTGCTGGCTTATAATTTAGAAATGGGTAGGGAGAGGGATGGATAATGTGAAGGGTTTTTTCCCCTCTGAAATTAGCTTAGTGTATTAGTTCAGAAAGTAGTCGGTTGCGTCTGATCGTACGCTTTAGGAATCTGAACCATCTGCCTCTCTATACTAAGGAGTTCACCTCTTTAATCCAGCTTACAGCGCACAAACCACTCTTCTGTATCATTATGCCCTTGAATAGATGAGCCTGTGCGAAGTCCTCTGCTTTTAAATGTGTTGCTGTCGTTGAAGATATTTAGAGGTTTTGTGGGGGTTTTATTTCCTTCAGGTTTTGTCTGAGTTTTTGGTATTCTTTTTCTGGGGCAGAAACAATGGCTTTCTTTATGAAAACTATGATAAGTAGTCAGGTAAAGAATTTAGGACTTGGTGGCAGGTCTGAAGAAAAAAAAGAAGAAGGAGGTACATCTGATTCTGCCGCAGCTCAGGGGATGACTAGAGAGGAATATGAGGAATACCAAAAGCAAGTGATCGAGGAGAAGTGAGTACATGCAACTTCCTTTCCTTTTAAAAGCACAAAGAAATTCATTCTGGCCAGACTGTCTTCAGCTCCCCAGTTTCTACCTCTTTGCTCTTCAGATGCCTTTCCTCGTGCTGTTTGCTTCTAGCCTGAGGAAAGTCTGTTCTGCTAAAGTGAACCATTTCCTAGCGTCAGCAGTTACTATGTCCTACTTGTATGAAGGGAAATGAAAACTACGAAATAAATCTGCATGTTGTCCTGAAAGCCACTGAACACTTTCTGATCCAGACGTATTTTAATTGACCTCAATTGTTCAAATGAAAAACTGTGCCTAGATAACTTTACAGTCGTCAGGAAATTCACCCTCCTAGCAAGTAGAAAGCTTTCAAATTGTGAAAATTCAGACTTTGCACTTGGAAGAGGGCCTTAAAGAACATAGAGTACAGTGTTCTTGATCTTACATGTGCAGGAAAAAAAGCCTAGAAAATACGACATGACAATTATGTCATAAAACTTGGCTTCTCAAAGACTGAATAAATGTGTGGACTGCCTATTATGAAAAATTTAAAGATGGAGAAGAGTACAACAGTATAATGAATGTTCATATATACCTATGGCATAAAGCTGACAGTTGACATTTTGCCATATTTGCTTATAGATGATCATCTGGTTAGATCATAGATAGATACATGGAAACGTAGACAGATAGAGAGAACCATTTTTAAAGTAAATTACAGACATCACGATACTTTACCCCTAGATACTTTGGCTATATACCTCCAAAAAATAAGGACATTCTTCTGGCTATATAAAATGTAATAAAAATAAAACAGTAACATTTCAGTTGGGTATTATGGAATGTGAATATCACCATTTTTTCACTGCTGAAGACTGATCTTTAAATAAGTGTAATATAGATGTAATTTTTTAAAGTTTAAGGTAGAATTAATTTGAGTCTTAATAATCAAATCAACTGAGTATTGAAGCATCAGTCTTGAAGTTCAATGTACATTGTATGTTACAAAAGTATTTCTTTTTGCCACCGTGGCTGTTTTGCTAATGATCAATTACATAATAGTTGCCTGGGTCCTAGATGATTAGAGGTGAAAGGGTTAATGACCTGGAGGAAACTAAGAAAGCTTAAAAGCCTGCATTTAATGGAAACCTTGTCTATTGTATTTTTTCCTGAAAGAAATTGTGACTTATACAACTACCTAGAATGTATTATGCTTGGCTCTGCGGTAAATTTAAGATCAGTTTTTTTAAAAAAATGCAACTGCAAAAGTAATGTTTGTGCTAAAATAGTACTTAGGCAAAAAAAGGCATCATTCCTTGGCATGTTTAAAAAAAAAAAGAACACATGTATAATGAAACAGAAGCAGAATAGCACCAAATGTTCTCAGCTCAAGGGGCCCAATAAAAAGAAAATGGTCAGAAATATAGACTATATACCTGATATTAAAATATCACTCAGTATGTCCCAGCAATAAATCTGGTCACAGATATGGCATCTGTTTGATTAACTAATGACCTTGTTTTACTTAATTTTATATCTGAACAGATGAAAGACTGAGATAGTCAAATGGTATGGTCAGTCAGTGGATTGGGTTGTTTACCAGCTACTCAGGGGTGTGTGTGTGTTATACATTTATGTGATCAACCAATTTAAGCAATAGTAGCAGGACGATGAGGCTGGCCTGCTTTCCCATGGCAAGAGGCATGACTTCCTGTCCATTGCTTGAGTTTTCAAGAGCTTCATCACCTAGAATAGAATACAACATAAAGAAGTAGGCATCGGGGAACTATACTCAATATTTTGTAATAACCTATAAGGGGAAAGAATCTGAAAAAGAATATGTATATGTATATATATAAAACTGAATAACTTTGCTGTACACCTGAAACTAACACAACCTTGTAAATCAATTATACTTCAATAAAAAAATAAAATGTATAAATGAGAGCAACTATTACAGTGAAAAAAAGATGATTCCAAAACTTGGAGTCAAGAAATAGAAACCAGTTTAGCCACCTGAAAATGAAAACAGGGAATTTATTTTAAGGCAAATCATGCTTCATGCAAAGATGCTTCAGCAAACCCATAACAGAAATCCCCCCAGGCCTCATATGTGCCTGAACCAGGACCAGAGCATTGCTGGGAAGCCACGAGCCCTCGTTTTCAATCTCTTGCCGTGGCTTCCACCTCAGTACGGCTGCTTTGTTCTTTTGGGGCAGTCAGCCCTCTACTTGGTCCTCTGCCCAAACCACGTGACCAGTGAAAAATGGCAGCCGACATCCCCCCGAATTCACCCATTACAGCTCGAGCCACACTACTGGTCTGTTTCTCAGTCCCAAACCCGAATTCCCAGAGAAGAAAGTCCATTCATCCAGCTTGGTCCAATCCTGTACAGCCAGAGGGCGGGGCCAGGTACATAAATATAGCCTCCAGTAATGCACTTCTTTGGGCAGCTGGGAGAAGAGGTGGTGAATGTGAGCTTCACAGACGTCCCCGAAGGTGTCCACTTCTCTCTGGATCATCTTGAGCAAGGGAGCCCACTTCAAACCAGCACCATCACAAGTCCAGTTAGGCCACCCGCAGGGCATTATGGAAATCCATACCCTACCTTGTTTGAGGATGCCTCCCTCCAAACAGGGAAGGGAACACTGATCCTAAGTTGGGGCTTAGAAGGTGACCTTGTTTATTTTATTTTATGTTTTTAAATTTTTACTGGAGTCTGGTTGATTGACAGTGTTGTGAAGGTGACCCTGTTCAGCTTGTGTAAGAATCGCCGAGGGAGTTTGTTAAAAGTGTTGCTTCTCAATTGTGGGGCTACGATGGAAGCAGGGAGATCATTTAAACGGCCAGGGCCTCTCCAATCAAGTGGCCCGGCATAGTATTTATGATAGAGAAAAGTGGACAGGCCATATTCACCGTTTCCATGCCGGGCAGTAGAGGCCCAGGGAGATTGCTGAATTCAAGAGTAGCTGATTTAAACAGTGCTTGAGCAAAATTAGTCTTCCAGCCAGTGACATGCTGGAGCTGACCTACAGCAGCGTGCACTGACTCATGAAAGCTGACTGTGTTCATCTCTCCGCAATTCCTCATTCAGCGACATCAAGTTGATAGTTTGAAATCCGCCTGGGTGGGAGTATTTACACCATGGAAATTGGCAAGTTCTACAAACAGCTTCTTTCCCCAAAGAGCTGGTTGTGATACGTTTGCCAGCACACCACTGCTTCCAGCTCTTTTGATAGAATACTTTAGTCAACAGACTGCTATTTAAAGAATCACTGCACAAGATACGGTATGGAGTAATGGAACATTCGTGAAGCTGCTATAGTTAAAATGAAAGGCATGGTTATGAGAGATGCTGGGAAGGAAAAGTCTGCCAGACTTGGTGGTTTATAAATGGCAACAATGGGAAGAGAGGAGCAGATGTGTTTTCTCCCCTGGACGAAGGCATCGTTTCCAGAACACATCTCTCTTTGGTAAGATTACAGAGAGAACATTTCACAATTGGATTCCCTGCCGTATGTTTGAATGTCCCTGCTTCAGCTGTCAAGGATTTCAAGTGCTTTTTAAAAGTTCCACATTATTGTAGCTCAGAGTTCTGAATTCTATCACAATTTATTGGTGAAATTAAATGAACAGAATAATAACTGAATCTCAGACTCTCAGTCACTGAGTGTAACTGTCTTGTGGAAACACAGCTCTACAGAGATCTGAAGGAGAACATCCTTTAAAACTCAAAACTGCGGACTTCCCTGGTGGTCCAGTGATTAAGACTCCACACTTCCACTGCAGGGGGCGTGGGTTCGATCCCTGGTCAGGCAACTAAGGTCCCGCATGCCGCATGATGTGGCCAAAAAAAATTAAAAACTCAAAAATGTCTTCCACTTTGGGAATGTTGCAGAATCAAGGCAGCATGGGTGGAGACGGACCCAGACCTTAAATAGATACATGGAAAGTTCACATAAGCGTTTAATAAAGGGCATCAGGAAAGGAAGTAGAAGGAGATGCTAGGGGTTTGCTCCAAACATTTTTTTCCATAAAAATAAGTGTTCTGTAGAATTTAAAACTTAGGTCCCAGGTACAAACTATTATGTATAAAATAAGCTACAAGGACATATTGTAACATAACACAGGGAACATGGCCAATATGTTATAATAATTATAAATGGAGTATAACCTTTAAAAATTGTGTGAAAAAAGGGGGAGGGGGAAACTCCCTGGCAGTCCAGTGGTTGGGACTCTGTGCTTCCACTGCAGGGGGCACGGGTTCAATCCCTTGTCAGGGAACTAAGATTCCACATGCCACATGGTATGGCCAAAAAAATAAAAATTGTGAATCACGATATTGTACACCTGTAACACAATATTGTACAGCAACTATATTTCAATTTTTTTAATTTAAAAAATAAGTAAAACTTATGTCCCAAGAATAACACTCAACATCCTTTGTCATCAGCTCCTACACCTAGCATTTCAGAAGAACTAAATGTGTTAACCCCTAATAAATACAATAAGAAACAAAATGATTTTTAAAATGTAGCTTCTCTCCACAATGCAGTCAGACTGGGAAGCTGCATTCTTTTTTTTTTCCAGTTTTGTAAATAAAGTTTTATCGGAACACTGTCATACGCATTCCTTTACATGTCATCTTATGGCTGCTTTTGTGCTACAAGGGCACAATTGAATATTTAAAACAGAGACACAGGGCCCACAAAAAATCTACAATATTTACTCTTCGGCCCTTTACAGAAAACGTTTGCTGACCCCTGATCTAGAATAACCCAGGTCTGATTTTTGCCTACTCTTTTTTTTTTTTAACATCTTTATTGGGGTATAATTGCTTTACAATGGTGTGTTAGTTTCTGCTTTATAACAAAGTGAATCAGTTATACATATACATATGTTCCCATATGTCTTCCTTCTTGCGTCTCCCTCCCTCCCACCCTCCCTATCCCACCCCTCCAGGCTGTCACAAAGCACCGAGCCAATATCCCTGTGCCATGCGACTGCTTCCCACTAACTATCTACCTTACGTTTGTTAGTGTGTACACGTCCAGAAGCTGCATTCTTAATGAGCGCTCCGGGTGATTCTGACGCTTGTGGTCTCAGGTTGTACTTAGAGAAACATAGTGAGGTCGGGTCTACATCAGGAGTAATCACCCTGCCCCTCTCCCGGGGTGCATCAGAAAGAGATTCCCAGAACTGAGCTGTCTTTGGGATTTAGGGTCTGTACTGAGTTATGATAGTGGAATGACAGAGAGGCAGAAATTTGGGGATGTAGGAAAAACTCCCCTATTTCCCATTTGTCTGCCGGCAGTGGGAACTAAGAAGGTGTGTCCCAGTGTCTGGCTCCCCTGAACAGGGGCTGGAATGGCCTTAGCTCTCTTCGTCCTTTGATCCTTTATTCTATTCTTTTACTTTTAGGATGGAAAGAGATGCTGCCTTTACACAAAAAAAGGCAGAGAGGGCGTGCCTCAGAGTTCACCTCAGAGAAAAGTACAGACTCCCAAAGGTGAGACACTCAACACGGTAAACATCCAGTCATTTTTTAAGTAATAAGAAATGGAAAGTGTTTGATTATCAGGAAAGGGTCACACTCATGGGTATATATATATACACACACATAGATGTACATATATATAATACATAAATATATTTATATGCCTTAATTGTAATTGAGGTATCTGATATAGTGAAAATAGCATTGAACTTGTTCATAAAAACTAGATTCCAGTCTTTTAACCTCTGAACTTGCATTTCCTCTCAACAAAATGGAGTAATACCTGTTTATGTAAATTTATCTAAAGACTATAGAACATCTATATATAAATGCACAATGGGGATAATCATCACAGCTGACATTTCTTGAGCGCCTTCCTAAGTGCCAGGCACTGTTCTAAGTGCTTGGCACATATCAATTCATTTAATCCTCAGGACAGTCTTGTAAGGTAGGTTTCTTAGAGGAAACAGAGGAAGAAAGAGAGTAACTACCCTCCGGCCAAGGGCCATGCTGCCAGGCAAAACAGAGCCCAGGGTCTTAACTTCTATGACATTCTTCCTCCACGTCAGAGGAACAATCTCTTCCTTCCTTTTGGAGATGATGTGGTGGTGATGGTCGTCACCGAGCACCATCTTATCCATCCTGGCTGAGAGGACAAACTCCTGTGGGCTTTGGTCAAGTAGCTGGTCTCCAAAAGTCATGGGTCTGACTCGTAAACTAAAAACTGCTTGCAAGGACTTCCCTGGTGGCGCAGTGGTTAAGAATCCGCCTGCCAATTCAGGGGACACAGGTTCAAGCCCTGGTCCGGGAAGATCCCACATTACGCGGAGCAACTAAGCCCGTGCACCACAACTACTGAGCCTGCGCTCTAGAGCCCGTGAGCCACAACTACTGAGCCCACGTGCCACAGCTACTGGAAGCCCATGTGCCTAGAGCCTGTGCTCTGCAACAAGAGAAGCCACCGCAATGAGAAACCCGCGCACCGCAACTAGAGAAAGCCCGTGCATAGCAACGAAGATCCAACGCAGCCATAAATTAATTAATTAATTAAATTTAAACAAAAAACACTGCTTGCAGTGCCCTCTACTGCACAACTGTTTTGACTTTGCTGCCTGGGAGGTGGGAACAGGATATGTTGACATGACCTGGCACAGGGCTCGGATGCACTGCTCCAGGGCTTGTATCCAGGGGTGACCAAGGGCCTAGTTCCCTCTTCCCGACTCGCTTCTCATTTCCCCTACCTGGGGATCGCCCAGCTCCTCTAAATGACTCCACCTCCACCTTCTGGGTTGGCTGTCCAACTCCCCCTTCCAGAGGGGCACCCTCCCTGAGAGAACATCTTCCACCTGGAGAAGCCAAAGAGATCCTTCCAAAGCACATGGTCTTCTCGCAGGGATGAGAGCCAGCGGGCTGGGCGGTTTGGAAAGTGCAGCTAAACCAGTTGCTTCAGTGGGTCCCCTGCAGATCCCTGGGAAAACTGACTTCAGAAGCTGCAAGCTGTAAACAAAGGGAGCGAGTCCATTGCCCAAGCAAGGTCACTGCTGAAGCCACTGAAGAGGTATAGAGCCCCGCGCCCGGGAGACATTGATCCTAAGACGGACGTGCTCACTGAGGGGGGAAAACTCACAATAAAATTTAAACTCATGTTCATTTGCAACCAATGAATTTCGAAAAGAGTGCCTTGCTTTTTGCCCACCTTATTCCAGGTTAGTACTTTTTCCCACCGGGACTGCATTTTGGGAGTGTGGAGCACTTCTAACACGGTCCCTCCGCTCCTGTTGCCTGAATTTTCTGAAGCTCCCTGGGATGGTTGGGCTGTGTTTAGCAATGTGGCAGCAGATTCACGCCACTCAACTGAAGCCCCGCCCTCCCGCCTCCCGCCTCCCGCCTCCCGCTTCCCGCCTCCCGCCTCCGGTGCATCCGATGAAAGCACCACACATCTCGTTTGGAAGGAAGCAGAAATAAAGTGCACTTGCGTGCTTGCGCACACACCCCCACACACCATCAACTGGCTGTGTCTCTTCCAGAAAGGTGGGGCTTTTTTGTGTTTTTTAAATTTTATTTACTTTTGGCTGCGTTGGGTCTTCGTTGCTGCACGTGGGCTTTCTCTAGTTGCGGCGAGCAGGAGCTCTGCTTCCTTGAGGTGCATGGGCTTCTCATTGCGGTGGCTTCTCTTGTTGCGGAGCCCAGCCTGTAGGCGCGCGGGCTTCAGTTGTGGCTCGTGGGCTCTAGAGCGCAGGCTCAGTAGTTGTGGCGCATGGGCTTAGTTGCTCCGCGGCATGTGGGATCTTGCCAGACCAGGGCTGGAACCCGTGTCCCCTGCATTGAAAGGCGGATTCTTAACCATTGCGCCACCAGGGAAGTCCCAAAGGTGGGGCTTTTTAAGAATACATATATATCTGTTGTTGTTGAGGATATATTTTTGACGACTGTTCTGTTGTTTGGTGAAGATATAAGGAGAACTGGCTTTCAGTTCTGGCTCTGACATCTGCAATCTCAGATGGTTTTTTAACATATCTGAGCCTCCATTTCCTCATCTATAAAATGGGGGCAGTGATACCTACTTCCTGAGGTCTTTGTCTGAGATAATAAGGTGTGCCTGACGAGGCGAGTGCCTGATGAGTGGAAAGAGCTCCATGGGTGATCACTCTAATTGCTGTTATTATCTCTATGCACAAAAGTTTTATTTCTTGATAATAACAACCAGGGGTCTTGGAGGCCTGGGGTGGGCACACTGATGTTTGTAAACAAGGCAAGAATTGGAGGTCCCTGAACCACAAGCATCTGAACTTTGTTGGTGAGTCCACGGTCCTGCTCACCTCAGTTCTCAGGGGTGGACACCTTTGGGCTTTGTAAAATGAGTTTGATGCTCTTCAGAGAAAATAATTCCCAAATCTCTGAGCCAAGCTGTCCTTTGAAACAAGAGCCTTTCCAACAGAAACTATGGGAAGAGGGGAGAATTATAGCCACGTAACGTACAGATTCATATCCTCCCTGGAGCGATAGTGACTCTATCTGCATAGGCTACTGTTCCCTAAAGCCAGCTAGAGGAGGGGGACCCCAAAGAAATCTATACATTGTTAACGATGGAGCCCAGTGTCTTTTGTTGCATGGGTTACTGCTGCCCATGTACCCATTTTTCTACAGCTGTTTGAAATGCACAATGCATGAGAGCCCACCTGATGTTTTCATAGACCCTGAAGGAGACCTTTGAGTTCATCTAAGAATCTAATGCCGCAGCCTCACTTTAGACCTGAGGAAACTGCAGGCAATGGGGGAGGGGGTAGGGGTGCTGTGGCTAAGGGACTTCGCAAAACCCCACAGCTGTGGAGTGACAGAACCAGGATTGGAACTTGGGCCTCTCAACCACACAAAGGAGCATCTTAACACACAAAGGGATTTGGATATAGCTCCTTCTGGCCCCAAGGTCTCTGCTATTTCTACTCTTAATATTTGAGGTGCCCCAAAAGTTTTAGAGTGGTTTGGAGTTCCATGTGGTTTAAAATTATCCTGAGACTTTGGGGGAAACCGGCACTGCTCACTATTTCAGCAAAGTGTCGCAGAATCCGTCCCCCGGAGGACCAGGTGCATCACTTTTCCTGCCCCTGTGTCAGCTGATGGCTTGACCGGAGACCTGGGAGTTGCTGACGCAGTTCCAACACAATTCAAGTAAACAGTGATAGTGTGACTTGAAAGCATTCCACGTGTCATCCTTCACCGCAGAGTTTACTTTCTGGTGGAGGCCTCCCTAGGGCGCTTTATAACATGGCTGGATTTCGTAAAAATGGATGCTACACATAATGTTGCGAGACTTTGCTTATGGTGTGAAAAACCCCAACAGTACAACTGCCTGCTTTTTTGTAAGCACATGGATATTCTATCTAATCCAATGTGTACTATTCATAACAATGGTAATTAATAGGAAGAATGCCATAAAACGTCACCTGGATCATATTCTGCCTTGTCCAGTTCTCACCAGATGTGGCCGACACCCCAACCTCAAAGCAGGCCTTGGGCTTGGAGTGCAGACCTGCCCCACTTCCTTTGCCTTGAGTGGCTGTCACAAGTTACATGCTCTCCTCCCACCCCTCTGAGGCACAGGGTACAGGGGGCCTTCAACAGCACCCATGGCTGGAAAGGGGCAAGGAGGGACAGACACTTTTCCCAGGCCAAGATCAGCCCAAGGGTGGCTGCCTCCTGTCTGTGCAGACAGGTCACTCCTGTCCAAGCCAGATTCTGGCTTTGGTGTGGTACTCGTGGTAGGAGCCGCTGCCCGCACAGGGACAGGAATCTGGGTCCTTCCAGCTCCCTGGTGTCACCAGACGCAGCCACAGGGAAATGCACCCGGGCTGCCCCAGAAGAACCACCCCTCAGATGTTCTCAGTTCTTCTCCGGGGACTGTGTGTTGTAGCAAGGGCCGTGGTGGTGCTGAGGAACAGAAATAAATTTCTGGACATGACTTTTTTTGTTAAGCCCATTCTTTTGATATTAAGGACCAGATTGTGCATTTTGTTCTAAAGCGGTCGCTGCACTAGCGAGCCTGGAAAGGCCTGTTGGGCTCTGCTATGAGCACCTGTCACGAAGCAGGAGGTGGCAGCACACTTGAGGGACAGTGGCGGGTACAGCCTGGGAGGGCAGTGTGTGAGCAGCGGGATCCTCCCCTGGCACGCTGGGAAACAGCTAGAAAACCAAGCGTTGTAGCTGTCTCCGCAGCAGCCAGGATGGTGAGAGATTTTAAAACGGCTGACTGTAATTGAGGAAGCATTGAAGGAATTGGAATATTCAGCCTTGAGAGGAGATGACTTTGGGGAAATGACGACCATGGGGGATAGTCATTTCCCAGGCCCAGAATGTCATGCTTTGGTTCTAATATTTGTATCAAGCCAGCTTCTCTAGAGGGGCCCATGCTGCTGGCTGGTATGGAACTGGCTGTAACTCTTAGGTCTTTCTTTAATTATTCAGAGGAACCCTTCATAGTGGAACCTTTAGAAAGCCTTCTGAAAAGCATGATG